ATATAGGTAGTATATAATTGCCCCATGCAGACATAATTTTATATATTTGGTGGTCAGAATGTGAATCTAATTTTGTAATATTAATTTTTTTACTAAAAAATTTTTTTATTATAAGTTATATTATAGGCCATTTTCAATGTTCCTACCAACCTAGATTTGAAAATTATAGTTTAGGTGTCTCCAAATTCATGTTCCATAATTTAGTCATTAATTCATTTCAAAGCACTTATTGAACATCTACTGTATGTCAGGCACTGTCTTGATATACATCCTATTCTCAGGTACGTCACAGTCATAGATATATATGCAGAATAATACAGTGTTAAGTTTAAGTTGCCTTTGAGAGCTTAGAGGTGAATGGGACATCTAACTCTATGGGGAAAACAAGAAAGTCTTCTTCAAAGAAGTACCATTTGATGTGACTCTTGAATGATAGATAGGAATTTTCCAAATGAAGATGTAGTAATAAGTACTTTTAAAGTTGTGAAAGGGCCACCCACTTGTACCCCACTTCAGATACCAGTCACAAATCCAGGTTTTTACTTATACTTCTGACCAACTGGCTATAAATCAGAGGTTCTCATGACTCCCTCCTTGGGTTTGATTAATTTGCTATAGTGGCTCACAGAACTCAGGAAACCCATTTACTCATTAGGTTACCAGTTTACTATAGAAGGATAGAACTCAAAACAGCCGAATGGAAGAAATGCATAGGACAAGGTATGAGGACAGGACACAGAGCTTTTGTGTTTTTTCTGAGTACTCTATTCTCCCCGTATCTCCTCAGCTTCACCAACCTGGAAGTTCCCTAAACCCCATGATTTTGGGTTTTTATGGAAGCTTCATTGTAGGCACAGTTGACGAAATCATTAAATCATGACCATCAACAATTTATTCAACTTCTAGCCTCTCTCCCCTCCCCAAAGGCCAGTGGTGGGACTTGGGGTGGGACTGAAATTTCCAGCCCTGTAATCACTTGGTTGGCTCCTTTTTAATTTTTTTTTTAATATTTTATTTTTTTATTAGACACAGAGAGAGAAATCACAAGTAGACAGAGAGGGGGAAGAAGTCCCACTGCTGAACAGAGAGCCCGATGCGGGACTCGATCCGAGGACCCTGAGATCATGACCTGAGCTGAAGGCAGAGGCCTAACCCACTGAGCCACCCAGGCGCCCCCCCCCTTTTTTTTCTTAAGAGAGAGAGAGCGCGTTCGTGGTTGGTGGGGGAGGCAGCAGGAGAGGGAGAGAAAGAATCTCAAACAGACTACCCACTCAGCAGGGAGTCCAATGTGGGGCTCAATCTCACAACCCTGAGCCAAAATCAGGAGTGGAAATCTTAACCGACTTGAGCCACCCAGGCTCCCATCCTTGACAATCAGCCCCTATCCGTAAGTGGTTTCCAAAAGTTACCTCATTAACACAACAAAAGACATCTTTATCATTCTTTTTTTTTAAGTTTTTTTTCCTTTTTTTTAAAGATTTTTTTTAATTTATTTGACAGATCACAAGTAGGCAGAGAGTCAGGCAGAGAGAGAGAGGAGGAGGAGGCAGGCTCCCTGCTGAGCAGAGAGCCCGATGCGGGACTCGATCCCAGGACCCTGAGATCATGACCTGATTCGAAGGCAGAGGATTTAACCTGAGCCACCCAGGCGCCCCCATCTTTATCATTCTTAACACTTAGGAAATTCCAAGGGTTTGGGGAGCTATGAGTCAGGAACTGTAGTTAAGTCCACATATATATGCAAAATATATGCAAAGACCAAATGCATATGAGAGATATAAAAGTCACAATATTACAGGTACTTAGCTTATTTCTTTTCTGTAAGTGATGCTATCATTAACATCGTTTAACATAACTTTGTCTACTATGCTGAATATTTCTTAAAAAGCTAAGTAAGATTCAAGGGTTACAGTGTCTCCTGAGCAGTCATCAAGGGGGTTTGCTATCATGGAGGTGGCCCATTTGGTGTCTGTCTGTCTGCATGGGAGGCAGATACCACAGCAACAGTATAGGCACATGCAAAAGAAAACACAGATTAAGGTAATGATTCCCAAAACAATATTTTTCCACCAAGAACCCCAGGCTCCCAACCATTGATCCCTAGCTGGGGGTTGGATCTCTCATGGTATTCACTTACGTTCTCATGTGATTTAGTAAAGGTGATGTATTAGCTGAATGATCATGCCTTTCTCAGGATTTGGTGTTCTCAGCAGCCCAGCATGCTGATGTTGGTGAGAGTTGGGGCAATGGCTGGGTTCTGCAACTTCCACACCTTTACAGTGCCTTAGCAGGGATCCCCGGTCTGGCATATGTGGTAATAGGAGTTACTGGTTGATCACACAAATGTGTTAAAGTCTGGGACAGTACTTTAGACTACTTGGCGAAAATGGTTTACCTGTTAGTAATTTCATCTGCTCCATTAATATTCCATTTTTCCTTTCTACCAACCCTGCTGCTTGGGGATTCTAGGAGAGCTGGGCCCTCCATTCACTGTCATGACTTTTGGCCAGTCTTGCACATCATGACCTTTGAAATGGTACCACCCCTAGAATTTACCCCACTCACTCCCTACGGGCTATAGGGACACAACAGGTATAGGGGAAGGGGCATCTGGAGGATCTCCCTCCTCCACAGGTCCTAGTGGCACCTGCATTTCTAGTAGGCTGGTGGATAGGGTGCTCCTCTGCTGCCTGCCATCTGAAAAGAAGTGGCCTCCAAAGGGCAATATTTATTGAATGAATATAAAATGTAAAATGCAGACTTCACAGAAAAGAATAGGACATGGGATAAGATCTGAGTAGAGGTGAGGCTATACTGTTCAAAAGCTCCTCCTGGGTTAGACCTTTGCAGAAATTCCTCTGTACAATTACATATGTATGCACATGCACACACAAACACACACACACACACTCCTTCCAAAAGCCGTTGGAATTACTCACTATTATCTACTGTATCTGTCACTTGTGTTACTGTTCTTTCCCGATAGCATGAGTGAATAATTGTGTCGAATCTGTACATTAGTTTGCATGTATTGTCATATATATATATAGCGAAGAATTGTTATAGCCCAATGAAGAATTTGGCTCACTTGCAAATTAGCAGCTAGACTTGATGAGAAAATATGAATCAAATTTTAAAACATTTTAAACAAACATTTTACAAGTAATTTAGAAACAACATGAAACAGGGGCACCTGGGTGGCTCAGTCAGCTAAGTTACCGCCTTCAGCTCAGATCATAACTTTAAAAAAGTCTATAAAATATTGTTTTAAAAGTAATTCTTGCAGTGTTCTGAAATCATGAAATTGATTCAGTAAGGGAGAGATTAGTATTCAATTTATAAAAGTACTCACCTGTTTTTCTGTATCTAGTTATCTCTAGTGCATTCAAAATTATCCAATTTATGAATAACTCATTTATAAATTAAACTGCCTTGCTTGCACCTTGCCTTTTCACTTACTGGGAAAATGGGGGTGATGATAGTAGTTGCCTCATGGGGTTGCTGAAAGAATACATGAGTTCATTCCCATCAGATTTTTTGAAGTTACAAGGTGAACCCTTTAGAAATGACCGTTATTGGCCCATGAAGGATACTTTAGGGTGAGGCCAGCAAGTCCAAACTGAGGATTTACATTACTGGCATCAAACCATCTTGAGCCAAGTTGACTAAGGAAGTAGGTAGAAGACAAACAAAGCCACTGTGTTGTTCTCCACAAACCCCTCACACGTGTCAAATCAGACTGGTGGGTTGGATGGGCCCTGATTCTGACTCAGTGTGTGATCTCCAACTACACTGGTCTCTTCTGCAGGATTTTATAACTAAGTTCTATTTTAAAAGTGGGTATTTTGTGTTTTTAATTACCTAGGTAACTGTGTGAGAGGAAGCACTTTAAAAAAAGATTTATTTGACAGAGAGAAAAGAGGGAGACAGCAAGACCGGAGGAGCAGAGGGGGAAGGAGAGAAGCCAACTCCCTGAACCGGAGTCCTAGGCAGTAGGTGGAATCTCCCCACCCACGCTGAATCAGCTGAGCGGCCCAGGCGCCCCGAGAAAACACTTTTTAAAAGTCCTTCTATTTTATTGAAATGTTACGTAATCCTTTTCTCACTGAACCCCAGCGGCCAGTTTAGTACAGGGGTATTTCAAGTCAATTTCTACGAGCAACCTGGAACCAGAGAACAACCTGTGAGGTGGGAGTGGGGTGGGGAGGAGGATGAGGGTGCGGGGATCTGTTATAACACATCCTGAAAGGTTAAGAGTTCTCCGCCGAAGCTTTTAGAGCAAGACTTGCTTTGAGGTTGTTGCTAGTGTCCCTTCACCAGGAGGAGTTTGTCACTTTACGGCGGATATCAGGAAGTTAAACGTGGATGGGGGTGGGCGGCGGGATGGAAACGTGGGGCTGCTCCGATTGCAGAGACGGAAGTTGAGCCTCCGGGCAACTGCAATCCAAAAACAGAGGTTGGAGGATTTTTTTTTTTTTTTTTTTTTTTCCCCCAAAGCAGGTTTGGCCAAAGTACTATTCTCGCCGGGAGGAGGGAGAGGGTGCCGCTGAGCAACCGGGCTTGGGCGGAAAGGAGGTGGAGAGGAATAGCTTCTCCCCATTGGCTGTTGCTCTTTGCACTTTGTTGCTTTATATTTCTTCCACCACAACCAGAAGTGCAGAGCAGCCTCTGGATGGCAGCTGAAGGATCCGCCAGGTGCTGCAGGAAAGGCAGTGAGATAGGCTACCACGACTGGGCTCTCAGGTTCGGGTCTTGCGGAGGCGGGGTTCCCATATCCCTTCCTAGCAATTTCCTATGCCCTAGCAATTTCCTATTTCCTGGCTTCTCCTAAAGCACCTGCTATCGCAGCATTTATTTGGAGGATGCCAAGGCCAAGATCTTTCCTCCCTGAAATGTGTTAGCTGATGTGTGCTTTCTGTGTTTTGTCATCTTTTTTTTTTTTTTCTTTTTGTTTTTGGACAGGTTACATTGATTTAGCCTGATAAAGATATCTGGAGACCATGACCAAGAAAAGAATTGCTGTGATTGGGGGAGGTGTGAGTGGCCTCTCCTCTATCAAGTGCTGCCTGGAAGAAGGCTTGGAGCCAGTCTGCTTTGAAAGGACTAATGACATTGGAGGGCTCTGGAGGTTCCAGGTAAGTCTCCTGGCGCCCAGCAGGAGTGTTAGTTTGCAACCTCAGGAGCATCCCAGGTATAATCTGAAACTGGTCCCCTTCATGGAAGGCAGAGAGAGACCCAAGAAAGAGGCAGGCCCCTCCAGGTTGGCCTGTGACTGGTTTAAATAAGCAAGGGAGCTTACATATGAGGCTTGTCCTGGGCAGCAGCAAGACAAGTACATCTCCACATCTGCCATGTGTTAAAAGTTCATATAGAGGCTCTGACTGGATTCAATCATTACCATGCACATGGTCTCAACACTGCATCACTAGTAAGGCAAGCAGAATGTACATTCCAAGAAGTCTCTAAGGGTCTAGCTCCTGGGTCAACATGTGGTCACATCCTGTTGATGACCTCCTCCTAACATGCCACCTCTCCTGACCAGCTTTTGCAATGTCACACCCCACCCCTTCT